TGTTATTATGTTGTTTTTGTTGTTGTTGTTGTTGTTATTGTTATAATTGTTACTGTTGTTTTTATAACTAGTATTGTTGTTGTTGTTGCAATGAGAAGTAGTATAGTAGTTGTTGTTTGTTGTTGTGTTCTTGTTTCAATGATTTTTTAACATATAAAATCCTACCGAGATGCCTACACTTCAAGTCTATGAAATAAGAATATTTGTTATAATTTTCTCATATATCTAATGACCAATTTGTATGACAACTAAACATTAAAACAGTATAAGGTCACACAGTTTCTAGTTCATTTCGTATTTAAGTAGGTGAAATTATAGATAAAGAATAAGGGCACGTTTTAAAGACAGCGTTGTAAACAGTAAGATTTTCGTAACTCGAAATGGTTCACTTTAAACAGTTCGTCTGCTTTAATGTAGGGAAGAATAATAGTTTTAGTGCTAAATAAAGTTATCTAAAAAGGAAACATAACATAAATGTTTACTCAATTATCTTAACATTGAACGATGCCTTGTAAAGGCGCAAGCAACGGTGCCGCATTAATGTTTTCGATGTCGATTATGCGGTGATTTTCGACGCATAAGCAGGACCTTGATAATAAGGCGCACTTCCGCCAAATAAACAAAACCATTTAAAGCACATAAGATACATGATAAATTATTTTGGTAAAGTTTCAACAATATCGGACCTACGTTTTATGTTATTTTAGTGTGATCACTTGAGCAAGCTTTGAACAAGACTTTTCATCAGCAAAACCGGTTTAAACATTCCGTAAAAACGTTTAAAATCACGCTTTGCTTGACAAAACGCCAGTTTGGTGTTTTCAATGACACTCAATGGATCCTTGTATTTCAAAATCACTAGTTGCTCCCACAGTGTCGAATAGCCAAGAAGAAGAATCTTTTATTTCTTTTGTTTGTGTGCAAATTAAGCCTCAAAAGAATCATATGCAAGCTTTCATAACACAATTACATGCATGCATAAGTAAATTACTAATTTCAGAACAAGAAATTTACACTTTGCACTAGCTATCCCCACGCTTCTCTGCAGGTGGGTAGAGAGCAAATTGTTACTAATGTCATGTGCATAAGGTTCATCATAAATCTGTTATAAAATTCGTGACAGTTTATAATTATAAATGTATATAAACGGTTCTTACAATATGATATGGTGGTTTTATTTGTGACATGTCCTAATTTCGATCCGCTAGGCACCAGACGAAATTGCGACAAAGTGTCTGGCGCCAGGCGGAGCAAACAAAAACATGTCATGGCACAAATCAGCCACCATAATTTAATGAAGAAGGGTGACACAAGAGATCAACAAGACTTAGTAACATTTTAAATAAGATTATGCCTAAGTCACAAATGGCAAACGGCTCCGAAAAATCCTAATATCGACCGATGTCCGCCCGGCCACCGTGATAATCGGATAGCAGCAGCTGAAAATATTGCTCAACGGGCGGGCACCGTTGAGATTTAAGTACTACTTAAAAAGCTAACAGCCTCCGGACGATAATGTTTGGGTCATTGAATTGAAAAACACATCTGGCGGGGATGTATTTCGGATCAGACGATTGTTTTTGATACAAAAAGCCCGTCCGATTTTAAAGGCACCCGGGCAGACATAGCCCGTCCCCGCCCGTCGCCCGAAAAGACACCAGTTGACGAACACCGATGATTCATGCACAGGCACCTGGCGGTCATCGTTTCGTCGTAAAGCAAACGTCTACGCGGATTAGTATTAAGGGAAATGCAAACTACAAGTGTTGCATTATTTGCTTGGTCTTCATCTTGTCTCTATCAATTGCTTTCTTTACTGGCATATTGACCACTGATTTTTTAAAAGAATATTATAAAAACGAAGCCTTCACCGTCCGGCGCCCACGCAGCCAACGTCCGATCCATTTACAAGTCGCACAGACGCCGTCCGGACATCGGGCCGCGACCATCCGGTCTTTGAATGCTGTCTGTAACATCATTTCGGGGGAAAATCGCCCGGCGACAGTTTCATAAATGACCACGCAAGGAATTACATTTAAAATCACCCGGCGTTCGCGAAATCGTCAAAGCGTTTTATTTGTAACCTAGGCATAACTCAGACAGGTAAGGAGCAAATTAACAAGACTTAGTTCTTTTCTGGAACCGAAACATCGAGCTAGTTCAGTTACTTTAAATGTTAATTAATGACAACCGATGATTTATGTAACGTGTTGATTTTAGCAAGATTTAGTCCAAATAGGCGCAACATATAAATTAATACATGGTCAATTTAACCGTTTGACAAAGAACACAGAATATTTCAAAAATACTACATTTTCATCGAACGGTAAAGGAGGGCAAAGACTAATCTTTCAAATTGCTTTAAAAAGTGGGCCGTCAAACTGTTTAATTAGGTCTTTGTTATAAATGAATCTTGTTAAATGTCCTATTTTAATGTACAACAAAATTTACCGTTATATTGAACACAGTGACCCGATTCTCCGATATAGTGGTATAGTTGGGGTTTTACCAGGTGAAACCTTATCTCACAGATGTCTCACTCCCAACAATTATACAAGTCTCCCCCAGTCTCGCCCAGTTGCATTTAAGGTTTATGGATTTCTTGTTTATGGTTTTGTGTATGTCTGGGTTTTTTTGTCATGCTCAGATCTGTATATATTTTTTTTAATTCGCAGTTGAACTGCAAATATGTAATCGTATGGTTTTCGAAAAAAATACATGTCATTGTTCAGAAGGCCATATTTAATATACATGTATAAGGATATGCTATTTGTTTTTCACGATGGTATTTCTTCATTATCTAATAACGAGCTCGAACTGTTCGCAAAGAGAGCATTACGGTAACGCGGGTACCTGCTAGATATGTGATGGTTTTTATTTGTTTGGGTCGTCAGACCAAACAAATAATGATAGCGAAATTTCAGACTCTAATGCTGTTAATTGCAAATGCCGAAAGAAGTCCACTTTTTTGAAGCGGTTACTTCCCTTTATATGTAACACTAAGACCGAAAAATTCATGGGAGATAACTGCGTAAATATGGTCCGTGACAGGCGCATTAATTTGTAAGCAAAATAATTCCCGAATGGTCGAAGATTTCTAATATTGTTTTATTCTTTATAGATATACATGCTTATAGTAAGCGCCATGATTATTTACACAAGTGTCAAACAACAATTAGCGTCGTTACAAACCCTAATTTAGAATAATATGCTTTTATATATAAATTCACCGTGGCCGAGGGTTTTGCGCGCTCGCTTAGGAAGCGAGAGGTCTGGAGTTCAAATCCTAGTTCAGACAATTTTTTTTTCTTATAGCCAATCTACTACAATTAAAACGCTGGAAAGCATTGGTGGCACTATACAAAAACAAATTGTTTTATAATCTCACAACCTTCACCTTTCTGACATTCTGAGATCCAAACAAATTCAGCGCCTCCTGTGCTTTAATTAAACTTTCTCAGGAGGTACTGCAAAAATATGGGTAATAAACCAATCGCAACATTTCGACTTACAATATATCGACAAAAGCCGAGAAAATCTGATTGAAAACGGATGCGTAGACTCGTCACCTGATCACCATTATCATCATTAATATTATTATTAAATTTTGCATATTAGGCTAGAGTTAGCCTGCTTTCAGTTAACGTCATACAACCACCTTTACATGTGTTAATAAAGGGTAACAGTATTATGAAATGTCTTCTAAATTTACACGCTTTTTTGTTGTTGTTGTTGCTGTTGTTGTTAATGATAAAAGCAATCTTCGCTATTTTAAGCAATATTCAACATATGGATACACACTTTATTGATTTTAATTCCCGATGAAAAAACGCTTAAAATAAACATTTTCATATTTTTTACGGAGATATAGCTTTAAAAATAATCAACCGATGCACAGAATTGATAATAACATAAAATCACATCTTCATGATCTTTGAGTCCTATACAAACATTTGCAACTGTTTGGTTAAAGTAATTTATCAGTACAAACAAAAAAACATCGATATAGTTTTACCACATCCTTTAATTCGAGATAACACAATAATTTGGATCACGGTTTTTTTCCTATTCATCCACTGATTATAGTCCCATGTAAGATTTTCAACCGCCTACGCAGACATTTACATTTTCATATTTCATTTATTCTCACAAACATTTTATTTCCATAACAACAATTATATCGAAACATTGACTTATTAATGTTTCATGCCTAGAATAATATAGAATGGACATAAATCTCATTTCTTGTCTTGAAATTCTTTCTGAAAAAAAAGACAAAAAAACATATTTCAGATTGGATATAAAATACTAAATTTGTTCATTTTAATTAAGTTTAATAAAAATTAACTTTTGAAATGACATTGCTGTATAACGGATAATTATATCATCCAAAATCCTTCATACAAAAAAAAATAATAATAAATAGAGGTTGTACTTCCCAAAACATGCCAGTTATTGCTATAGATCTATATTGGGTATTTGACAAGGTATATTACTTTAATATTTACATGACTTGCCAGAAATTTATCAAAATAACAAAAAACAGAAAAAACAACAACAACAATAACAAAAAACAACAACAACAACACAAAAAACAAACAAACACAATCACATTTTATCTACTTGCGACAAGAAGACCAATAATTTTCAATTTGCTGCGTTAGCTGTGTGTAATGCTATACCTTCCCTTATCTTATATTTTCATATTTATAAATATCGCGTTAGTTCTTGTATACTCAAATGAATATACACGTGTTATCAAATTAGTTTTATCTAGGCTATTAAAGAGGCTTCAACTACAGTTAAATTATTATACATTAAGAATCAGAGATGGATAGCGAACCATCATTCCATGAGCAGAATACAAAGTACGCCACGCTCGAATGTGCGCATGCGTGTTGCCGGCATGCGCCGTGTCAACAAACCACGCGCCCCGTTAAATCAACTGAACAATTATTGTTTTTCAAACTTAATGTCAAACAATAAGAGCACTCTTCAGTTAGCGATTAGTTTTCAAGTGCAAATCAACACCGCTCTAAGTGGCCTGCTATCATTCCTTATCACCAAATAGATAAACTGAACTCCTTTGGCCATCGGACATCTTGAAAAGTCTTAAGACGCATTTTCTGATTGTTTCTGAAAGTCTGTGGATAGGGACTTTACGATGGAAAAATATTTATCGATTGTGAAATTAAGTTTTCATAATTTTAGAATTCTTCTTCGCTGGTTAAAATTGGCGTTTTGTCATCATCAGCACCCATTGTAACTGTGACTGTTTTTCTTTCTTTAAAAAAAACAACAACTGTATCTTCGGATTAACGGAGGTGAAATCCGTGTGTGTCTACTAGTAAATCATAAATTGTGTTTTATATAAGTGTAGTGGAATCTTTGACAATTTAGTTTCTGGTTTTGAAATGAATTTTTCGGCCAAGATGTTTCGATTATCACTGATTTTAACTGCGGTCTTTTGCGCGCCAGTGATCAAAGACCCTCTGGATGATGATTTGGCCAGAAAGAAACAAGTCGGCGTTGTTGAATCTGAGACCGACAAAATAAACAGACTCGTTGAAAGTCTTAAAAACCTTATTGCCGAAAATGATTTCGCGGAAAAAATTTCATCTCTGAACAAATCATACAACATTGATATTGATGAACTCCTGGGCATTTTTGAAACGTACATAATATATAGAGAGACGACAAACTCACAACATGAGACTGTTGTTGATTTTGAAAATAATTCAACTGGAGGTACAGACACGGCAGATAACAAGAGCGACCTGGACATGCTTCTGCCTAATTTGTTTGCGTATATAGATGAAAATATGGAGGAAATTTTAAATGAACTCATTTATGCGATCGAAGAAAGTAAGAACAGCGGTAAAGATAACATGCAAGGAATTAGAAGTCGAAATGACGAGCTATCTTCTGACATGTTTGAAGCGAAAGTACATGAAATAGAAGAACTGGTAGAGGTGGGGATAAATGCTGAGCAATCTGATAAAATATTAAAAAGAGCCTCATCTGTTACAGGTAAATATTAAGAATAAATTTAAGAATTTTGTCAAATTTATGGGTGAAGGGTCAGAATACATTTAAACTGTCGTCAGAAATCGGTAAGCGTATAAATCGCAAAAGAAATCAGTAAAGTTAAAATCATCAGTTATAGGTCTCACCCTGAGGTGTAATTTCAAATGTGTGCACTTATTTTATATGGTCTCTGCTGAAAGTGTTTCTAAGGCGAGCTTAATAATACGTGCGAGCTAAGTTAAATGTCAGTTTGTGAAATTTTATTTAACATATACAATTAACCAGAATGACATTAAACCACAAAAGTACCACAAAAGGGATAATAATACGCATAATACAATTATCCTAAATAAAAATGCTATTGTTATGTTGCATAAAAAGCGAGGCCATGTGATAATAATGTTTATTTATTGTCAAAATAGTCAAAATAGTCGCTTTACACGATAAAATTGAAAATTTTGAAGTTGGTCCGGCGGTAAATGCAAAATACCGTCCACGCGACCTAGTACCAGCTTAGGCAGAATTCGATACCTTTATAAAAGTTTTAAGAGGCAAATATTGTTCATCTTTAGATATATGCATTTTACGAAGTTAGTCAGGTTTATAATTCTAAGTAGATATTAAAGACGTTTATGGGAGCACTGCAGTTTTTAGCATATACAAAGAACAAACAAAGTAACGCGTAGAATGTTCTCATTTTTTATTTTTTTTATTTTTGGCATGATGTAACGGCAAAATCAACATGTTTATGCTACAAGGAAAGAAAGGGTGGCCTGGGTGTTCTTTAGTGATTCCTTTTTCTTCTTTTTCTTCTTTTTACCACCACATCAGCGCTGTGTGTGCCGTTTCGAGGCCGTAAAAAAATCGCCACGTACATTTAATCAGAGATGTTATATTTCCGATCTTTGAATGTCATTCAACTAATATTATGGGGTTTTTTTTGGTACTTTCTTTCTTTTTTTCTCCTTTTTTAATTTTTTTTCTAGTAGGCTGGTTACAGTATTTATTACATAAATACTGTTAATCAACCTGAGGGTATGTTGCCTACTGTTTTTTAAATGTGTCTTTTGACAGCTAATCTGTGAGGTGCAGGCTTCATAACCTCAGATCCCATGTCAAAATTCCATTTTATTTAGCTTCGCCTGTTGTTTTCTCGTTTAGGGCACACGTTCTTTTACATTGAGACCAAACACCGCATTTCACGGAATGACACTAACATGGCACATTGAAGGTTCTATGATAACTGCCAAATGAACCTATCTTGGATGTTTCTGAATTCAAAATATAAATATTACCATTTCATGTTAAATTTAAAGTCTGTATTAGCCGGTGCTAGGGGGTGTGGATCCAAACTTGCAACATTTTCATTGTTGCCGTCTTTGACTTTCTTTTAGCCTGGGATTCCTTTTTTCTTTTTCTTTCCTTTTTTGTGATAAGAAATGTTTTTATGACAATATTTTATATTAAGAAAATGAACAAAGGGAGTTGATAATGTAGTAATCGTATAAAATTATCTTAGATTAAAAAATATTTCCTTATTTTCATGTTAAGATAAATACGAATGTTATACATGTAATCATGTATAATAAATGTCCACAGCGTTATAATTATGTAAATGTAGATTTGTAAAGAAAAAATCTACTTATACTTTAAAAATATGCTCATTGAGCGTAAAACTTAGTATAATAATTTTCGAGTTCCCTTTTTCATAAATTGATATAATTATATGAAATAGAATTCTGCTTCAGTAAGATATTACACACACAAAAGTAATCAATATTTAAAATGACATATTACACATCCAAGAGTAATGAATATTTAAAATGACATATTACACATACAATAGTAATGAATATTTAAAATGACATATTACACATACAATAGTAATGAATATTAAAGTGACATTATGCTCAATTTTTCATTGTTAAATTTAGCTGAATTGATAATGCATGTATATTTCAAAATACTGACTGTAAAATGGTGATTGACCAATAGTTGATATTGGGAAATGTTTAGGATGAAATATCAATTTGCCTAAAATATAAAAACACTGTCCCATCTTTTTTATAAATTAAACACTATACGTAAATTACGATGTTCCGGTATATACATATAAATTTCAATTGGCCAGGTGATGTTTTTATCGTCTGTGCAATTGACAGAATTATGTAAAAAATGTAAACTTATTTTGACTTTCACATGTTCATTCCCTATATACTTTTGGATGAGCATAATATCACTTTTATATTTAAATACAATAGTTAATGTTTAAAATCATTATAAGATTATGATGTTCATATTTTTTTTTGATTATCTTGTTCATAACAACAATTGTCATTGATGAATTGGATTACCAAACTAGGATTGAACCATTTAGTTCTACTCAGGTGCCTGTTTGTGCCTTAAATATTGTACAGAGGGGCAACTGAGGTCGTCTTTTGAAAGTCGCAATATGACATATACTGCGTTGGTGCGACGCAAAAAAACACACACAAATACAAACAAACAAAAAACAAGCAAACCAAAAAGTTAAGTTAAAATTTGTTTTAGTTTGATTGTAATATTTGAAGCTATAGGCTTAGAGAAACACTTTGGAATCCATTCCTTGAACTGACAAAAATGATGTTGATATTTAATATCAGAAAAATAATTCAGGCTCTTCTAAATGCGTAACAAGCTATCTAAAAACCAAATGTAATTTATTCTTTCAAATCAAGGTAATCTAGGGATCAGGAATTGATGGCAATTTGTGCTAAAATAATAAAAAAAAATAATTAAAAAATGCAACACGATTACGAATGATAAATTGTGCCGTTCAGATTGTTTAGTTTAATTTTGATAATTTCTCACATTACGTAACCGATTTATACGGTGCTATAGAATAACACTTAACACTGTTATAATACAAAATAATCATCAGAATACCACTTAACGTATGATTCTAAATATTGTGACACCTCTATTAATGGATTAAAAAAGTGTTGAACGAATCCTGGAGTAGTGGGAAACTAACATATGGCGATTGCTTGTTTAGTTATATAAATTATGACAAAATTATTGTAAAAAATATATTTACAAATGTAACATAATTGTCTAGATAATGCAAGCAACTCGTACATTCTTAATTTACAATTCAGTCTGTGAAATAATAAATATTTTCGCAGCGATCAAAGAGTTGATCATATTTTTCATGTAAGATTTTTGTATGTTTGCAAATTGTTCAAATTGACTTAACATTTTAAAATTTAGGACCCTTTCACGTAAAAAAAGTGATTTCAAATAAAATTGTTCTAGTATTGAAGTCTGCACGGCCTTGTTCGCTAACGTCGCTCTTTCTTTAATAGTGTTGTCCAAAAACAACTAACCTGTCCATTGTGTATACATTATCCGGTGGTGGCACGCTATTTTATTATGCTTCAGAAATGCATATGTATTAATTCTTTAGGGATATCAAACATGTGTTTCATAATGTTTTAATAATGGTTTAAAAACATGTTAGATGTTTAAAATCTGAAGAAAGTAGCACTGAACGTATAGTAATATGTCGTAAAGGTAACAAAATGTATACGTAAATAAAGTAGTATTTTGATTTTTATACAAAATAATGAATCACTATTATCATACTAGTTGCCAACAGAGCAAAAGTAGCAAATATGACTAAGTTTGTTTGTTTGTTTGTTGTTTTTTAATTGTTATAAGATACCAAAAATATTTTATTTTTTTGAAAAATAAAATTGATAGCATTTCTGATGCATAATTGGCCCTTTAAGGCAGGGGTGATAGTTCTAAGCCCATTACTTGTTCTTCTCTGATAACAGCTTATTGCCTTTTAAAGACGCAACTTCATAAAGCGTTGTTCTATAGTAATATTCAACCTTTGGTTAATGTTTTTTCTTTCCGCTTGACCGTACCATTTTATCTGTTGACCAATTTTAACTTTATTAATGCACATTCTTTTCTTTTTATTATTTCCATTTCTTTAAATTTTATTTGTTATTTATTTATTTATTTATTTATTTAATGTTTTTGTTTTTCAATTTTTTTCCTATAATATATTACATATTGAGTTGCAAAAGAAAGTGTGCACTTGCTTACAGTGGACATTTAGTATCCTTATTGAATCAAATTTCCCAGCAAATGAGAGACTAATTCCAAATTTTGTTGAAACAACAGTGAGAGACAGATCACAATAAAATTTATGGGTGTCACTGTTAGCAATAATGATAAACGTTTCTCATAGAATTTATTAACTTTGTTTCTTCTTGACAAGATACATGTATGACATTTAGTTTTTATTTCGCTGTCCTCCACAAGTTCAATTATAAAGTAACTACTTTCTGTTAGGACAGTACTGTAAACGACCAGACAACTGAAATGCAAATAGAATGTCAAATCTTGTTGTTTAGAAAAATTAAAGATATACTATGCTCATACTTAAATAAAATATTTTTATTGATTAATTGAACACTATGACATTCTCACTGGATATATCTAAGTATATATTCATATTGTGGCAACCTATAGTATGCAGAGTTTTAAGCATACTTACTTTGTGTGAAGTCAAACATGTTTATTTTATATATACAGAGAGATTGTGTTGCAATTATCAATTTTCTCTTTCATAAAATTTGAGCATAGTACACATATCTTTAGAAGGAAATCAGCATCTTCTCTTACATTAACCTCGGTTACCGGTTATTGAGTTTCCTGACCGGTTTTAGCTATTAAAAACCGACTGTATTAAACGGATAAATGGTGGCACCCCTAATAAAATTATTTTAAGAATCTAAAGAATGCCCGTACTCATTAGTCACGGAGAAAGCTCATTTCTCTTATAGATAGAACCCACCCACAACACTTGGATCAAAAATCCATTGTTCTTCTCATTCATTGAAATAAATGATCAAGGAATTAATTAAAAACTTTAGAAACAGTAAAGAAGGCATATGCGATTGAAATTTATACGGGAACATATCTAGTAAAGATGCAAAACCTACATCTGATGATTCGAATAACTATTTTTAGAAAATTTTATAACATGAAAAAAGTAATATTTCTGATGATTTTAATAACTATTTTTAGAAAATATTATAACATGGAAAAAGTAATATTTTTTTTACAAAACTTACGTTTACACATAAAATGTGTATAAACAAACTTCAAATATGCAATGCTGAAAATGAAAGGTTTCTTTTATAAACGGATGATAATGAGTTTCTTAAACTTAGATTCTGGATGTTTCAGTATTCCTAAATAAGTAAGAGTCATTTGATAATTATCATTTCAGAAGTAATAGTCTAAGATAAATAAACCAGAGCCAGGTATTTATAAATTACAAACGATATCTTGTAACTGAATTTAGTAAATTTTATGTCCATATTGAGAATCTTAAAATCTTACAAATACAAAAAAATAGAGAAAAACAGAATCCCTAAAGAAAGTCCAACACAACAAAATTGAAAATGTTGCAGGCCCGGTTTGATGGACGGTACTGTCAAGTGCAAACTACCGTCCACGCCCTCTAGCACCGGCTTAACATATGTATACACAACAATAATGTCGTGCTACAAAACACATTTGAATGGATAAAATGCTCATGTCAGCGTTTAAAATGCTTCGCAAAAGAACGTCATCTCGAATGACGAATCTGGTACAAAATGACGTCATAACTCTAAATTATCATATATGGTTAAAGTGGGAAACTTTGAAGTTCGATTATGAACATTGTCAGCCTGTTAAATTGCTGTCATGTCGATATATCTTTTGCTATAAACTTAATAAATACTGTAGATATTAAAAATCTGAACTTTTATCAAAATATCCTTAACACATTTGATACTACATTGTATTTCAAATGTGAAGAACTGAGATTGTTTTGTTTTGACCTAAAAGAAAGTCAGGGCCATGACATACGGTCAAACATCTGGTAATAGGACGGTTGTTTGATTTGAACTTAATTTGTTATCACCGGTCAAGAGATAATGTAATGACCTAAGTCAAATTCCTCATAAAGGATAAAATCTGTTAAGACGATCGAAGTTTTTAAAGACAAATAACTTAGTTTTCTTGGAAATGTCCTAGGTTTTAAGGGTAAAGACAACGTTGGTGTATTACATTGCACCATTTATCAAGATAAGCGCTGTGAAAATGACAAGAAATGTCGAAATCCACTTAAGGTACCGATCGCAAAGTGATAAACAAAACAAATAGCGTTAATGTTTGTAAATGATAATATTCACCATAATATATATAGGTGTAGCACCAAACTTCCTGAAATGGACAAATATCGTTGAATATAAATCGAATTTATTATTTAGGAAACAATTATCGAATATTAGAATAAACAATATTGTGTTCAAATAGAAAGTTATTTCTCTCTAACGGATGGAGAAAAATCTTCATCATATAAACCTTCTTTAAACTGTCTAATTGACAACAGCCGTATGAACACATCTGCGATTGTTTCTAAATTCAAAAGTTTATCATATCATTTTTAAATGTTGAATTCTGCTTAAGCCGGTGCTAGGGGACGTGGACGGTAGTTTGCACTTGACAGTACTGTCCATGTACAGGCTTATTCAAACCGAGCCTGCAACATTTTCAATTTTACCGTTTTGATCTTTCTTTACTCTATTTTACTTTATCAATCATTCTTATACGTTCAAATTATATCGGAAAATTATGTATGTCTTAAATAGTCTTTACTTAAATGTACCTTCAAAATGACTAATTATTATTAAAGTGTGAAAGAAGATAGGCAAGGTTGAGTCTAATTTCTAGGTCGTTTGAGATAAGTTCTTCCTCCTTGACAAAGATCACCCGATGACCTAAGATAAGACTAAAAGATAAGAGACAAAGAAAATTAAGTCATTGACTGTCCGCTTAAATGGTTATAACAAACATCATTTGTTTTGATTGTTACTTTTTCTGTTGTTATTTTACATTGTTGTTGGTTGTTTATGGTTTTGTTTGTGTTTTATTTCTTTGTTTTGTGTGTGTGTTTTTTTTTTTTTGTTTTTTTTTTGTTTTTTTTTTTTTTGGGGGGGGGGGTTGTTGTTTTAGGGGGGGGGGGTTGGGGCCCACCACACTGGCTTTTCTGTATAGCTAAGCAGCAATTACCAAGTTCTGGGAAACTGACCCGTCTACAAATGTGACATTATTTCTGAATGAGCGATGATAGATAAATGACCATTAGACTAAATGTCCGAGATCTTTGTAACAAAGAAATTTTGCCATACTTGTGGATTTAACCAACAACCCCTGGATTACTAATCTGATGTTCCCCCTATTGAGACAATTTAAGGAACTCCACTGAGGTTTAGAAGTCTAAAAACATAACATTTGAAAATCTTACATAAATAAGCTGTGACACTTTAAACAGAAATTTATACAAAGACAGTTAAGAAATATACTTTGAAATAAATAGAAAATCGTATTTTTATGCTTCTCTTGGCCCGATTTGGCTGAAAAACATTTAAACGCTTTTCATTTTGGGTCATTTTTTTACAATTTGAATATTTATTCTTGAAAAACAAAGAGTGCGAATGATCTGAAATTTTGCACAAAGATTAGTGGTCTAAACCTACATCAAATGGTAAATTTATCTGGAAAAATATTTTCAGTCCTTTCATGTCAAAAAACCTCAATGGAGTCCCTTTAAGTCTAAACATGTCTAAGCAACGTTCTTTTTCTATGTAATTAATGCAATTAACTTTTGTCTTGCTTTACGAAATTTCAAATTCAGCAGAATGACATAATTTCCGTGCTTCTTTCTGTATGACAACACCCATTGGAACATCACACCATTAAAAAGTACATTGCATCGAAATTCATTTATGCTCGTTTCTTGATAAACTATCGCATCATGAAACGCAAAATTGTAAGTTAAAAACGTTTACGGCACAATGAAAATGTTGCATGCTCGGTTTTTTTAGTCTGTTCGTAGACAGTTCTTGTAAGTGCAAGTTACCGTCCACACCCCCTAGCACCGACTTAAGCAAATTCAGTAAATAGAAATGAAAATAGGAAATGCAGAATTAAAAAAAAATATCCGCGATTGCGATAGTAGTATCTTTCTGTCATTTCTATCTAATAAATACCTTAGTGTTGCAATTTTATTATGCTCTATCCAAAATAATGCATTTGACCAACCATTGTTTCCATAACTGTTGAGATAGTGCAATATTAAAGTTTTTCTGTTAAACAAATATTATTGTAATGATTCATGTGCAATTGTTATTAACCGCCCAACATATTGTGGTGTTCAAGTGACATTATGCTCATGTTTGAGCTGTCAAGACGTGCTAAATAATCAATTTATTTCAAAAGATTGACTTTTATAATGTTTTTTAACCAATAATTGATAATGAAAAAAATGTTAAAGATAAACGTATATGCATTCATTTCATAATGAAAACTTGGACTTAGTCCTAATACAAAATAATTTTATTACCTCCCTTTATTTGCATGAAATGTTAAATTCTGTAATATCTTTATAAATAATGCTTGTTTGGAGCATACAAAATAATTATTGATAAATCTTAATTTGAGCATCATATTTATGATATAAATCTTAAAAAATGTGTTACAGGATCTTTAATCAACATTACAATAACACACCTTTAGTTTAAAACGTGATAAGTTTTCATGAATATGCGTAAATATAGAAATAATTTGGAAAGGATTTTCACATTTTAGCATGTGCTCGTATTGTAGTTGAACTATGTCATGTGCTGTCATGCAAAAGAAATTGCTTACCAATCTAAACTATTTATAGATGTTTCATCTTATGCACGCAGTAATGAGAACTTCTTTCATGTCATAAACTTAATCATGGCCATTTATTTATTTTCAGAAATGCCAAAAGAAGCTCCTCTTGTTGACGTCGAGGTTGATGTAGGCGCTAAGAATGCCAACAGCAATGATAACTATGACTTGCGACGTATGTACGAAAAGCGTGGCGCGATATGTACCCTCATTAAAGGATATAGCAAGACTCCTATCTACGTCATCTCAACGTGTCGACTCGGATTTGCACGTACAAATATATGGGAACTCTGCGAACGGAGAGACCCGTTTTCGACCCGTATGCATCAAGATAGCATTATCGACATCACTCGAACTCCGGTGCAAGATCAAGAAGGTTTTGTATATAGAAACGTGTACTGTGCACAATGTAATGACATTACTTTGGTACAGGCATGGACGACAAAAATAGACTGTGAACATATGCAGCCATTATCTCTGTCTGACGGGAAAGACACTGTGACTTTGATGAAAGAATTCACAGAAAATCGATTGGGGTGTATACGTAAATTAAGTCCAGCTATTCCACGTATGATACACCAGTGCTCTCACGTTGACGTCATAAGCACAATGCGATACCATACAACACGTATTGGTGACAGCGGAAGAAGTGATACGTCACCATTTCCATTATCGTTTTCTATACTTATGAACTTTGGGTTTGATGGAAAAACACATATTCTCTTTTCAACCACAGCAAACCCTCAGAGTGTGTCAGTCACATGCAATTTAAATGAAAAATATGATCCGCAGTTTCAAAAATGCAGACCTATTGTATGTTATGATGGATATCAGTTAGTAGGAGGAACGTGCGAGAAGATAACGAACAGTAATCATGACCCTGATGACTTGGCTAATTTGCAAGATACCGACGAACCATTGCAGGTTGTACTCACAATAAAGAACGTAACAAATGGAGATATTTATATGTTGAGAATCGCTGGTATAGAAGGTATTGTCATTGAGAACCTAGCAGACATGTTTAATATTAGTAGAACACGGATACAGAATCTAACATTGGGGTTGGTAAACACAACGGGAATGGTAAATAGAACTGAATATATTATTGAGATACATCGATTTACAACACCCCTTCCGTCTAAAATATTTCCTCAAATACAAACATCTAAAAAGCTTCTTGAACCTGACTGGGCTATAGAAGTAAAGCCAACACAGCCAATTAACGACATGGCAACGAAACGGGAACGCGATCCGAAGAATACAAATAAAGTTGTGTCTGTTCCAATAATTCATCCGGAAAATGACGAAGCTTCATATAGGGTATATGGGACAAATGATAGAGATGAAAAGTTTGCTAAACCTGACAAGAAGAAAGGCGGAGACAGCAAAGGAAATCAGTTGGAAACTGACGACAAGTATAAAAGTCAAAACGATCGTAAGCAAATGACAAGCGGTGTTGGTGTCGTTCACCATGACGATTCATCGAATAGTTGGAACGAGATCAGTGAAACTTTATGGAACAAAATGGCGGGTTTGTCCGTTAGAATATCTTTCATCCTCACTCCGGCGCATAAAAATAGAACCCTTCTAGAAAAGTCCGTCAAAACAGTCGTACAATCCATGAGTAATTTGATATATAGCAATACATTTAGTTTGACAATTAACGGTACAAACTACAAAGTTCAGGGCGTTGAAAACGCACCTCAAGGTACATCAATAGACGACTTTTGCAAAAAAGGAGTTCATCCAATGTTAGAAGATAATGAATTTATTATCAGTGCGGAGCAAGTCAATTCGACAGAAAGAAATGGAAGTGTAACTGTCATCATAGTTAAAGAAACCGGGGAAAGATTTTTACCTGGCGAGTATGATTTAACAGTTAACATTGAATCACGCGTTGGTAACATAAGTCAAGCAGAGGTATCAAGCTTTGCGTTCGTCTGCAAAATGCCCAAAATCGTAGACGAAAAGTGTGGACGAATTGTTCTTGATAGACAGGAGTACAATTTGTTTGACAATAAGTCCATTGCATTTGCAAATCGCACGTATAACATGAGCGAGTATGAATATGTTAACTTACAAGAGGAAGTTGTGAGTATATGTACACCGTCTGATTGGGCTACAATGGAAAGAACATACGAATCCGGGAAGTGGACTCTAGCTTGTGGTGAAGGTTTGATAAAAGTGGTAATTGCTGAGAGTTACCTTACTTTCATACTGGGAGTTATCTCTCTTATTTGCATGTTATCGGTGCTTATCACGTACGGATTGTTTGACAAACTGAGGAACTTACCAGGTGTAAATACGATGAATCTGACATTTTCTTTGTTTATGGGAGAGCTAGTCTTCATAACATCAGGATGGATTCAACCACATCAAGCCTGGCTGTGTTCCGCTGTCGGAATGCTTCTACATTACTTGTTTCTAGCTACATTCTTCTGGATGAATGTTATGTCGTTTGATGTATTTAGGACCTTTGGTAATAAATGTATTCTAACTCGAGTACGCAAGAAGAAGAAATATTTTCCGCGATATCTGCTTTACGCCTGGGGTAGTCCTTTTCTTATTGTTGCCTTATGTGGAGTTATTGACTATACTGATCTTATTGAAGGAGTTGAAATAGGATATGGTGGAAGTTCCGTTTCAAACTTAGGCATACACAATGAACCAGAGGTTACAAACTCATCGATCTTCAATGATTCCCCAGACAGCCATGTTTATAGCATTGGTTGTTGGATCCAGCAACCAGTGGCATCGATGGCCGCGTTCGGAGGACCTATGATCCTTATTTTACTAGGGAATACAGTAATGTTTATAAAAACGATCATCTGCATCCGGGCAAGCACGGGGGCAGCAAGATTGAGTGTGCGCAGACAGTCTCTGAAAAGACACATGACCGGCCGAGATGATGTAATGTTATATGTTCGGATGTCTACGGTCATGGGATTTACCTGGGTTTTCGGGCTCGCTTCATCAGTAATCAGTGCGTTTGGCGGACCTACTTCTCAAACAATTTGTATTATTTTACATTTATTAGGAATTCTGTTTATTGTATTCAACTGTTCTCAAGGGATTTTCATTTTCTTTGCATTTCTATTCAATAGAAGGATTCTGGCAATGTATAAAGGATTATTGGAAAGACTCAAATCTGAACGGTCAAGGCCGATTTCAGTCTCATCAAGTAGAGCAACTTTGACAACTCAGATAAGCCAGTCGTCACTGTCGCACATTACATGATTTGTATGTTATATCTCATAACGTTATTTTTGTTATAACGTGTTTATGTTACCTCCACTTACATGTCCAGACAGCCTAATCTAACTTACCTTCACTAATATGTTCAGATCGCGTAAGATAATAAAGGAAAGCGGCATTAGTGTTGATTAAAACTGTATTTAACACTTGTTAGAACTGTGACCTTTCATTTTCGTCCTGCGGTGCTGATTTTAGGGGTAACTAACTTGCCTTGCTTAGAAATTGGAACATTCCATTATCAGGTTGATTATATGATGTTATATGATGTTTAAAATTAAAAATGTATGGCTATATCCTGGAATATACCCCAGGGTCTAAACCAGAAGTATATATAAGTTCATTTCTTTTTCTGTTGTTTGTTATTTACTTCTGAATTATAAAGAGGGCCAGATTTAGTATGTCATCAGTCATGTATGTAGTATGCATTTGTTACTAAAAGACTGATCGGTGCTGTTTCAATAACACAGAAAAAAATGTATGTAGTTTTGTAAAAATTGGATATTGAATGAGTGAATGTTCAATGAATCTACTAAATGTATTGAAAGTGTTGAAAAATCGTATTAATATATAGATATAACATTGTTTTATTCAACTTGTTAAATACATTATGTATTGAATCTAAACGAATATACTAATAATAATAACTTATTAATTTATCACATATCCAAAAGAAGCACTGTTTACATTGCTTTTTAATATTTTTTTCGCATTGTTTCTACACAAGTATAATATCGTATAAAATTACGTAATGGGTTTATTACTCTTGTGTGCGATGGATAATAATAATAATAATAGTAGTAGTAGTAGTAGTAGTAGTAATAATAAGCACTTTATTTCATGAAGGTAATATACTAAAAATACATGTCTGATTTACAATATGGCCTTCGATTAAAACAAGGTAAAGAAACTCACAAATATTTACACAGATAGAAAAATGTAAACAACAAACATTTAAATCGACGTACATGTATTCATGATATTAATATTTCAATTGTATAGCAAGTATACGTAAATGTGTATTTCTTTCAAAGGCCCATTATGCCTTTGAAATTGTTTTTTTTTATTTCTCAAAAACTCAATACCGGTGTTAAATAGTCGATAAACACTACTGAGACGAATATTATTTCTGAAATATAAGGAGTTACAGTCATGTGTATTTTCAGTTTTTAATCATAGATTTATTGTTATAACATTGCTGAAAATGTTACTGTACTGTAAACGATCGTTTACAATTGCGGAAGGTTTTACAGTCAATGTAACTATTGGTGTATTTGACATTTTAAGAATATATACATATTTTAGACCATTTTTACAAGACGTATCTACCATGTATATATTTTTTAAAGTCTCTCTTATTGTTATTCTTTAATTATTTATAAATTCCTTTTTTAAATATTTTTTTGCAATGAATGTTGTTGTATGATGAAGCGTGACATGATTTATTTTGTATATGTATATCATTTGTTGCTTGAAATTAAAATCGACAATTCTTTATTTTTGAGATTTGTTATACATTTTGCAGTTCTTTTTCTCTTAATTTCCGTACATATTGTGTTTTATCATATATACAGGCATTAGCTTCACTGGTAAAATAGGGCCTTCTATAATTCCAAATTTATACCTGCTTCTTTCCTTGTAGTATTTTCACCCATAAAGCGTGCCCTTTTTTATTAAAGTAAGTATATTTATTTCATAATAAACAGCAAAACATATTTATTTTAAAGATAAAGGGAGCTCCATTGAGGTAAACTTTTTTAACATAAATATGAGTAAAAAGCGTTGTAACGCGTTGCATTTTTGTGTTATTTTACACATTGAAAAAGATGATATTGGTGGAATGATTTAAGATTTTGCACATAAGTAATTATCCACACCTACATCAAATTGAATACAAGTTTCTAAAAATATTTGCAGTCCCTTTTTCTTACATCAAACCTCAGTGAAGTCCCTTTACTTTACAAAACCAACGTAATGCGTTTGCGACCAGCATGGATCCAGACCAGTCTGCGCATCCGCGCAGTCTGATCAGGATCTATTCTGTTCGCTTACAAACCATATAACAAGTAGAGAAATTGATAGCGAACAACATGGATCCTGATCAGACTGCGCGGATGCGAAGGGTGGTCTAGATCCATGCTGGTCGCAAACGCATTATTATTTATTCAAGGCCTATATTCAATATACATCTTTATATCAAATTTTACCAAGTTGGACTCAACAACTATATAATAAATAAACATGCTTTGAATACCCGAAGTCCTTTTGGCAAAACCAAGAAAAGAAACGTATGAACGTATATTTCGAAACAAAATCATAACTGAAGTAGCGTATCCACAGAGACAAATAAATTGAGGTAGAGATCAAAACAAAGTCACAGAATCAAATAAGTTAAGGTAGTGATCAAAGCAATACCATAGAATAAAAAATGTTCAGGTAGAGATGAAAACAACGCGACAGGATAAATAAGTTATGGTATAGTTCAAACAACCCCATAAGTTAAAGTAGAAATCAAAACAAGGCTAAAGAATAAAATAAATTGAGGTTGAGATCAAAACAGCCATAGAATCAAATTAGTTAAGGCGCGGGTCAAAACAACGCCAAAGAATCAAATAAAATTTTAAAAAATGACTATAACAAAACATAATAATCTTTTATTATGTAAATGATATTAGATAATCAATCCAAATTTTACAAAATACACAATAAAAATCACGTTATGCAATTCCATCAGATAGCAGAAATAATGCCACTCTCGACGATTCACATGCTCAATGACGACGCATGTCCAATAATCACGAGCTCTTAAATACACTTGAGCATTTACATTTATTTTTTTAAAATTACAGTAACACAGGCACTCTGCAATTTGTGATTATTTTCAAGTGTTAATCAACACTCTTCCAGACCCCCTGCTATCTGCAAGGATAAATAGGACCCTTGGTCTTCAAACGTCACATTCACCGCCACAACATGTATTTGTAAATACCGACAATATCATCCAAGTTGAAATAAGTTTTGGACGCAAAACAGAAGTGACGATATCTGAGATAGATCAAATATAAAAAAAAATAATGTTTGTAATTCTTAAACATAAGTAAAAAATCTTTGGATTGAAAAACATACTTTTGGCAAATATGTTTTTACTCTCATTGTTACTAACGGCTGTTCTTTGTATCCCAGTGATAAGTAACCACTTGAATCATTTGGAAAAAACGAAAACAGCGGGCTTTCTTAGTAACACTGAAGACAAAATGGACAAATTAATTGAGAGTCTTAAAAACCTTATCACCGACAATTATTTTGAAGAGAGACAATCGGTCTTAAATAAATCATATTCTATTCATTTTGGTGACTATTTAGGTTTATTTAAAAAACATGTCATACGAGGAAACTGTAAAATCAAATCAATGGGAGCAAACATGATTTCGAAACAAATGTTGCTGGGGATATAGATAAAGACAATGATAGAAGAGGCCTCAACATGCTACTGTCTCATTTATTTGACTATACAGTTGAAGGTATTGATGAAATATTAAGTGAACTTATCTATGGCGATCGGTGAAGATGCAGACAAAGATAAAAATCACATACAAGAACATAGAGATATGTTTAAAGCTAGATTGCAAGAAATAGAAGAACTTTTGGAAGTTGGAAATATTACTATGGAGTCAGGTCAAATACTGAAAAGACCACGTTCGTTTTCAGGTAAATAATATTTAGTTTAATGTATAATTTCTCCATTACAAATGAAAGTTTATTCTTTTTAGCCTATCTTTAAGGACTGTCAGTAACAATGGTCCGGACTGTTTCATACTTTGTAAATCAGTTCATCACATGAACCTTGGTGCAGTAGGATATTGAATGAGTGTAGATTTATTTCTAAATGTATTGGATAAGTTGAATAAAATCATATTATTCGAACCTCTTGCAACCATAATATTGTTTTATTCCAAGAGTTCAAAAAATGAGTATTGAATCTACAAGAATATAATATTCTTTTTTTTTCACATATCCAAAATAAGAACAGTTTACAATTAAAAAAGTTATCTCGAGAGAGATGTCTTCTTTTCTCATTTTTTATTATATACATGGATACAGTAAAATGCTTAAATTTCGAATACCCTTTATATTTGCACACATTATCATAACATGCACCATATTCAAAATTGGAATAAAACAGTAAATCTTATATAAGCTCTTATAAGAATTATCTTATGAAAAAATCGCAATGAAAACAAATGAGAATTTATTTCTTCCATCTTACAGGGATGGAAATTTATTGCAGTACGTACATTTACAAACAAAGAAATTTCAACAATTCAAAGTATGAAAGATAGTACCATATTGTTAATTCTCTCCATTATAGATCACCAGGGGTCATAACATGCTTGAATAAACACTTTGAGAAAACAAGTATACATTTATTTCACTCTAGGTTATCCAATAAATTATATCTCTTTGTTTTACTAATTTTTGCGTCAATTTCATAGATCTGACCCATAATAGTGCCATAAGAGAACATAAGGTCTTAAACGAGAAGGCGCCAAACCAATGTTGATTGGGTAAACAGATAGGCACTTTGATTATACGATCACCAATCCTCTTCTAGCTGGAAACTGACTGGAGTCAATTGATTTTAAGCACAGCACTTACGCTTTTTATTTCATTATGAACTATAACGTCTAACCTCTAAATTTTAAATTAAGCTAGATTCGGGCACATGAAAAATAAAGTATCATGTAGCTTTTCAAACAAATATCAGACCCTAAATAAATTTGCGCAGAAATAATTTGTATTAACATAACGTGACACAACTGAAAATGTACATGAACCCTATATATTTGATCATTCATTTAATATAATATTCATACTAATTACTTTATTTATTAATTAAATAAATTGTTTTTGGAATGCAAACAAAGTATCTTTACTATAAAAATGTCACTGGTTTGTTCAAGTTTACAAATGCTACATACAGTATGTATATAAAGTCTTAAAGACTTGAAGATTACATTTTATAAAAGCTTCTTTGTAGGCTATTTAGATTTCCACTACCAAGGATTGTTATTTGTAAATAGGACTGATTGATGCACATCTGCTCTAAAAACACATCATTATAACCACTGCAATTACATGTACTTTGTAACAATTACAAAACGTTGGTTATGTTTGTTTTGCTTTTACCTACGCAGAAGTTCGTTAAGTTGGCACTAAATTGTATTACAAATGGTGCGTGATATCATTTGCTTCAATTCCATTGCGGTTAATACCCAAAAGGCTTTAGCAATTTTAAGGCATACATTTGTAGTGTGAAAAGGGCATACGCACGTTAATTGCATGGTTTGTTCACTACAATACTGATGATTATGTAAAGGTTAAAATGATCAATAATGTTTGTACAAATTCTTTCAAGCTATGCATTTCTACGGAATATAATGATGTAGTGGCTTTCTGTGCATTTCGTTTTTGCTACGTGCAGCGTGATTATTTACAGTTATAGATATATCCAAGGTGCGAATAGCAAAATGAATATATTTTTTAATAATACACCTTTTGATTCAAGACAAAAGATATTCAATTTGCTGAGTTTTCACATGTTATTTCACATAGCGATATATAGACGCTATATAGAAATATGATTTATGATTGTCAAATAAATATATCAGCTTTGCAATCACATAGCCAAGATGGAAACCAACAAAAGTAGACAGTTCGACACTTTCATATATACAATACATAAACGTATATGTCACTAACATGCTAAAAATTGTCTGTCCGTTTAGTTGTATTTGCGCTTCATGATTTACGGTTAGGGATGAAGTTCAGAGGTTTTTAATAAGTGTTTAATTTTAAGAAAAAAATGAATTTTTATCAAAACATATTATTCAAAATTAAGCAGTCTTAGGGTATGTATATTTTGTCTTCTCTGAAACAGGAACACAATGCATACAAACAAAACACACAAACAAAATATCTTGTAAGATGGTTGGATCTTTACAGTATT